AAACATATATAAAAAAAATTTTAAAAGAGATAGAGTATATATATATATATATATATATATATATATATATGAAGATCTACCATTGAAATCAATGAATCTATTGAATAATTGAGATTTTTTTTTTGACAAAACACTATGGACTTCTCAATTGTATAGTTTTAAAATTAGACAGACTAATAAATAATTGGAAATAACCATTGGAATCAAGGACTAAAAGGCAATGAGTTTATTGACTGAAAGGCTATGATGCATTTTATTCAAAGCAAATAAATTAGATTTATACCAAATAAGTAAAAAGTCATTAAATTCATTTTTTAATTACCTTTTGATGTAATTGTATTCCTATTTTGATAAATTATTAGCAAAATAATAATAATAATTCCTGACAAATTTTAAAAAAATTATAACCAAATTTTCCTAAGAGAATATGAGTGTCGGGGACTTGCAACAAAGTTGAGGCCTCCATTTTCAAAGCTGATGATCTTCTCCATGTGAATTCAATCAAGGTTTGATGTCTCCACTGCACCTTATTTCGTTTTCTTGACTCTTATAAATATATATATATATACATATATATATATAAAGAAATTGATATTTGGTCAGTGGGCACCAAATATCGATTCTCCCATATGAGTTGAAAACCCGGTGTGCTTGAATCTAATTTGAAGAGACCGCACCAGTGTTTGTGTGTGTGCGCACACAACTGATGGTTTGTTGGTTGGAAGCTTGCAGCGCAAGTCCCCTCTGTCCCGGGGTTGAATCCATCTTTATTGAATTAACACATGGGTGAACAGACATATGTTGTTCAGCGTAAGTCCCCTCTGTCCCGGGGTCTTTATCGAATTAACACATATGGGTGAACAGACATATGTTTATAATAATAATAATAATAATAATAATAATGTGTCAAAATAGTCTCCATTATATGAGAGGTATTTGTCTCATAATTTATAGAAATGTCAAAATAATTCTCGACTATTTTAAAATTAACTCTAATAATATTCTATGAGAACCATTTCAATTCAAATTTAAAGAGAGGGACTATTTTGACCCCTCATAAATAACCGGGAACTATATTAACACTATATAACTGATTAAATAAAGATCATTTGACTTTTACTCCATTATATATTGTTATGATTAGGACTTTAATATTGCATAAATTGACAGTTTCTTCATGACTCGTTAAGCTACATCATCAGCTTACACGTTTCCCACGTCATTTATAAAATGGTGAGACCGGAGTAATTTACATTAATACCACCTAATTCAAATATATATTTACACATTCACCACCTAAACTGAACTTTCTATTATATTTATGCTACCTAAATCCTTTATATCATATCAAATTTATCATTATTTTAAATATTAAAAAATTGCACTTCATAAATCACTTTTTAAAAGGTCCAATAGCCCTACAAATGCTGAATTTACTATTAGGCAAGATGATTTATAAAAATATAAATATCATTTAGTGAGCTAGCTTGATTCTAATTGTTCTTACAAGTGATTAAGAGGGGAGAATTTATTTCTCATTTGGAGGGCTATTATAGTGAACCTACTAGGTGCGGTGCACCGGAGCCTCTCTTTACAAAATTATATTATAGAAACTAGAATAAAAAAAGGTACTGATATCTTACTACTGTTAGTCTGCATAGGTTGAGTGAACCTTTGCATTTTAGGGCATAATTAAACAGCAAATTTGGGTTTTAAATATATAAATGACATGGAGGACCGAGTTGACACAAAATTTGATAAATTAAAAATCTCAAATGTAATATTATAAGATAAATAGAATCTACATTTTAATTAATCAATCATACATTGCACTCTCAAATTTAACTCAATATCTTTAACATTATATAAATGTATATATATATATATATACATAGATATAGATAATCTTACAAATATAATCTTCTACTTGAATCATGCTAATGTAAATCAGACGCCACGCATGTAGTGTAGCCCTTCACGCGAACCCAGCCAGACCCCCCAGCTACATGTGGAATCGTAGGGATTCTCACCGTGCTTAAGAAATTCATCATAACCTGTTCAAGAACAATAAACAATTAATAAGATATATATATATATATATATATATATATATATATATGATTAGAGGCATATACATAATAACACATCTCTATGTTTT